AAACGATTATTAGTTACATTAGTTTTGCAATAATCTTATATCTGACTAGCTGTCCCCGTGCGGCTTCATCCGCATGAAATCATGAAAATTTTATTTTATTGTTTACATTTGTCAAATTATCAATAGCAAATGTCAAAATGACATGACAAACCATGGCAACCTTGCTTCCTTGATGTTGGCAGCAACTTATGGTCTCTTTACCACATTAAGTGTTTTATACAAAATATTTACCCTCTAAATTTAATGGCGTGAAAATCTATAGCCTAAAGCGTGACGTGTAGGGCTTTTTATTAAAAAAGAATTATTCAAAAATATGCTGTAACTGCTGACATCTTAGGCAACAAAGTAGTGTGTGTTTACGCTTTATTATATCAGTATATATAGATTACATTTCAATATCAAGAAAATCTCTAACAAATACAGAAAATTAGCATAAAGAGAATTTAACATGAAAGAAAAAATACATGTTTTCATTTCAGTGAAATACTGGAATACTGGTTATGGTAACATAACCAGTAATTCAGAGTTTCTTTAGGTGCCACATTTTCGTTGATTTCTTTTACTTGTCACGTTTCATTTCAATCTTTATCAAGTACACAGGCATCTTTATAGAAATATAGCAAATAATATAAGTAAAATAATAAGTGTTTACAAAAGAAACGTATTACTTAGAAAATTAAATTGTTTTGTTTTAACGTAACACCATACTTACGTTATTGAATTATAATTAATTGATACCTTTGTTTCTTTTATTTACAAAAGGAATATTAAAAACAAAATAATGGAATTAAAAGTAACTTGTTAAATTCTTAGTAATTAAGAATTTAAAGTTTGAGCATTATAAATATATTGTAGAAAAGTGTAAGCCAAAATTTCGAGCATAAGAATGCCTGCGTTTGTGAACTGAGCAGTTGCGGGAGGGGGGTAAGATGGGGTTGGGGGAGGGTGAGTGCCGAAAAACTGAGGCTTAAAGCATTTCTCGCGTCGCTGTCCGAGAGGTTCGCGGCTAAACAAAAGCTCAGATCACAATATCCGGGCGCAATGAGGCCGCGGCTTTGTGCGCGTTTTGCTCAATTTTTGTTGACACCCCGCGTGTGGGAACAAGCCGGGCAAGGTAACGCGATCCCGGGACCTGTCCGGGACTCTTGTTTTCGGAGGTTTTGTGCGTGTTGGCTGCAAGCTACGCCGTACAAGCTAACCTTGAGCTTTACACCGCACAGCTTTTAGGATACGTCGTATTTTAACGTAATATCGCGGAGTTAATACCGGTGTTTTAATTTTTACCTTTAAAAATTAAATAAATAGGTGATTGTTAGTCTTATCTTAGGATGTAGACAATCGTAGTAGGTAGAGAATGCTTTATTTTTATTTTTGTCAATATTTTAATTGTGTTATTTTTGTTTGTTTCATGTACATTAGCGGTGCGACAATTTTATTCAGGTAAACTATTACAAATGTAAAATTATACCAATTTCATTATCCCTACATAGATATTTCTTGAATATTTATTATGTAGTTGGGTCTACTTCGGCAAACTTTTGCTAATTTATTTTTTTAAATAATATGGTACACGTTGGTTACTTCAAAACATTATAAATGATCTCGGATTACAAATGGTAAAATGAAAATCCTAAATTTCGAAACTTCTACAAGACGTGTGACGAATAGATGGCGCTGCTCGTCGCAGCCGCGAGAACGAAATCACTTAAAAAAGTAATTTAAAATGTGACAAAACCGCGATGCGAGGAGCCACACAATTAGCGTTGTGAGTGAAAGAAATTGGCAATTTGTGCGCAACAGAGCAGCGCCCCCCGCCCCGCGAACCCCGCACACCCCTCGCACCCCGCGCACCCCACACCCGCCACCGCTGCCGCCTGAGCTCAGAGAATATCTGATTTGTACTCAGAAAGATTTTCGAAACGGACATTCGTGTAAGTCCTTGATAGAGACGTAAGATTATAATAACTACAATTTAAGTATCGTTAATCTCTACATGCAATTAAACTTGTTATACTAAAACCTTTACAATACTGATTTTCCCATTTGGATATTTTTACTATATTTTCATAAAACGTTTAAGTTTTGAATGACTTAACAGATTTATAAAAAGAATTTTGATGTTGAATTTTGTATAGATTTGTTTTGTTGATATATTCGTGTGTTCGTTGCTTGCTACGTGTTGCATCTCAGTGGATGTAAGTGGCGTATCATAGAGTTAGCTCGTTACCTCAGCAGCCGGCAGCGACGGCAGAGCAGGCGGCAGGAAGTGGCAGGAAACGGCAGGAAGCCGCCGGGTAAATGTAATTCCGAGCGGATCCGCGCAAATTGCCCTAGCGATTGGCAATCAGTAGCCGCCGCGCAGCCCGCGGGAACTAAACATTTGCAAAACTCACCCGAGCACGTACTTTTCATATAAAATATTACATTAACTTACAACAGTATAAAAACTTAATAAGTGGTTAAGTACAAAAATATTTATACATTTAGGCGCACAACAAGGTGAAAGTTCATATTCTTATTGTCAAAACTAATGGTTATTTAGAACTCACTTAATTTTGTTAGTGAATAAAAAAGTTAAAATGATTTTCAATGCCACTTACTCAGACAACTGTATTATTATTTAACGTAGAAACTGACTGATAATAGTTAATTGTTTTGGTTAGATTTGACTTTATTTTTTAATTTCCCTTATGTTATTTTTTATGAGAATCTCGATTATAAATTATGAATGATTGATTTTTGAAATTATTCCTTTACACGGATAAAAAACAATATTAGCCTAGGAAATAGAAACAGAATAAAAAAATGTTTCGTTTGTCGAGAGCGGCCGGATAGCGCTCGTAGCCGCGAGGTTCTCGCTGCGAAGACTTATGACGCCATCTAGCGACAAACGCGGCAACTAAACAATATTTAATTTTTTACATTTCACAGATATGATATTTAGGTTTACATTAACCTTTTCTTGAACAGGTTTTTTCAAAATACTATTATTTTAATGCAACAGTTACAGATAGTCGCATTAGATACCAAATTATGATACTTATTTTAATATTTAAAAACAATAGAATACTCTAGTGTGGAATATGAACGTTATTTATTTTAATATACTCGTATAACTACATTTATTGTCAAACTTAAAACATTTTAATTTCTTATAAAGTTTTTAATTTTTATTACTTGTTATCATGATTGATAGTAAAAAGTTTACAAATATGTTTAAAAAATGGAAAACAAACGCTTCATAATATCCAAACATCCTATTGACACCATAAATGTTATTAGGGACAAATTTAGTATGGTACAAATCGACTAACATTTTTCTGCAACCAGTATGGTATCTCTATAATATCCCATTTGCGAGACATGACAGCCGTAGCCTGTCCTGAACCGATTTGCAGCAACATAAACATAAAAAAAAATGTAGGAAACACATCGTTAGTCGTTAGGTATGTTTGTTATACCTTAACATTATTACGTGGCCGTTAACAATGTAGCCCGCTAAAGTGGCGTCGTTCTCCTACAAGTAGCCTTCCTCCGCCGGAGTGCCTACCCTCGCGGCCCTCCCATCATCGTATAACACGCGACTTTCAACTCTATCTTCTCTACGCAAAGTCTCAAATTGTTCAATACGTTGGTACGTGTTAGCGCATATATTACCATTGGCTGCACGTAATGACCCGCTTATAATATTGAACCGTCTAAACAACACAATGCCAGCTCCCGGCTCGCGGCTCGCGGCTCGCGGCTCGCGACTTGCGGCTGAACTACACGTAAACACTGGCGACAGCGACTAGTGTCAGTAGGAGCTATGACCTACACACCACCTTACTGTAAATACAATCCAATTGCAAAGGATAACTACTAAAAAAACTATAATATATAACTGAACAAATTGGATACGTTCATTCAGCTTCAAAGTAGGATTATGAAAGTCTTGTATTTGCGTCAAAGCAATCAGATTTTTGCATCATTTTCAAAATTTTTAAATATTAAGTTATAAAGAACAAAAAATTGTAACATTTTAGTATTACCATTTACATTACTCTTTTTCTATGATGGTTTGAATATTTCTTTTATGGTTATAATGTAAAATGTGAGGCCAGCATTATGCAGGAACTAATGAGTTAATGAGAAGATAACCGAGGTCGCATAATCAGCCTCCGACCCGCTCTGCACAGCTCTGTTAGCACGCGTTAACTCAAGTGGAACTAAAGCTGTTTTTAACTCTTTATGTTAATACTAACCACGGTAAAATACAACACGTAATTTCTTTTCCATCTGTTTTCAAATTCAAGTTCAAACTACTCATCATGTTTTAATCATTTTTATGGCCCCTAGTGAAATATTTGCAAAGCGATTTGCTACGCTACAAGATAAAGTGCATCGGACACACATCGACCCGCGTCCACGTGCCTTGACC